CCAGATGTACACATTTGAATGACAAAGTTTTTGTGTTAATTAAAATGAGTGTTTAAATCCTGAAATGTTTTAACCCCTTGTACGTTATTAAATGCATTTTCACAATCACCTGTGTAACCACTATAAATTTGCACTTGGCTACGTACGGTGCGAAAGTTCCAACATACACAATTGCACATTTAAGCAAATTGTGGAATAAGTGTTATAAATTACGCTCCAAAATAATTATTATATATTAAATAATATATTATGTTGAACTTCGTATACATGTGGAACTTCTTTCGTAATGTAGCCAAACCGTGCAAATCGGAGGTGAGATGTAATGTTTACCACTGTCAAACAACAATATTCATACTGATTGTTATCACAATGGTACAAAGTATACGTAAGAATTCTATTATTTGTGTAATTGTATTACTTTATATTAAAATAAAGCATTAAAAGGTGGCGTTTATTGTCTTGTTAGCAAAACATAAATAATTCGACAAACGGTTTAGTAATTGTATGGTGATGCAAATGTTTACGCCTTAAATATTCCTTAGTACGTTATGTGTATTCGACTGAAACAGGGGATTATAGCCAAAAACAACATTCACACTTAATAATATAAAAAATATATTTTCGGCACTATAACTTTTTAGTTAACACTCTACAGAACGTTATAAATACTTAATCGCATTTTCATGTCTTGTTGTTGAAATGGATATATGAACTTTATACTGGTAGGAACGAAGTTGTAAACTGAGTGTACCAGCCTGCAATAGATTAATGTGTCCGTCCGTCCGTCCTCTTTCAATACTTTAACGAAGTGAAATCTCGTGCTGTTAAGTGTAAAATCAGCAATACACAGCGCAGAGACTTGTCCTACCAGCCCACCCTGCAGGGACCTGTTAAGTTCAGTAAAGGGATATTTACCTTTCAATATTAACAGGTTGTGAAACCAAGCAGTAGACAATGGAAAAACAACCGGCCAATTATTCAACTTAAGGCTCAGTCCATGTCTATCTAGCAGGGTTTCTCAAACTCCAGTCCACCACCTAACATCTTCCCGCATTCACCAATTTACTCCCCAATCAAATACAAGTTAACTCGCTCAATGCTGCACGCACCTGATGATTGTTAAACAAGCCTCATTTGTGGGACGTGTTTAACAGTTATGGGGAGTACATTGGTGAACGCAGAAAGAGGTAGCACGATGGGTCGAGGGGACTGGAGTATGGGAACCCCCGTGGTATAGTTACTTGGAGATATACGCACAATCATAGAATACGTCCATCCAAAGTGTGTAATCGCTGTGCAGAAAAGATTCGTGCCGTCAGTCATATACACACGTATTAACTTTCCTTATATTGAGTTGAAATCGCTCGGCAATCATCGTTTCAATGCGATAGCCATCATGGAACCTCCGTTTGGTAAATTAAATCCTCATTAAAAAACACTCACATCAGCTTAGCATGTACGAGGCGTAGTCAAGTTAGCATTTATTGTTCCATGAATTCAGAAACTGTATGGAACCAACAAAGCAAATAGTACAATTATATTTTATACAAGATTATTTACAGCTGTAAATGCTATTTTTAAGGCAGGCACCAGAAAGCGTTCAATTGTATAGCACACGCTTATAACATCAATAACAGCCATAAAGTCCACATTACCTCCCAGCCTGCCAAAAATACCGCACTTATGTTTCACAATACATGTACAATGTTTTGTTCATACTGTTCTTCTGACATTAAATAATTCTGAGCATACAAGGCTTTGATTATACTCAACACGATTACAATACAATGTTTTTTTATGCTTAGTTACATTATCTGTTGTGGCTGTGTGGAGAGTGCACCATGTTTTGTTAAAACATATACGCTGCTAAACTTTGAAAACAGAAAATGGAAACTCTTTGGTTCTTTCGGTAAAGTCACGAAGGTATAAAATAAAACACGTTTCAGGCGCAACACAAGCGTCCGTCATCAGGTGGGAAAGCATGGTCTGCTATTGAGGCAGACTGTTTTAAAAGGTTTGAAATGGATGTAGCCCAAGTGTCATAAAGAAGTGGCCGGGGCCAGTAATGTTAATGTGAGAAATTAGCATGTAACTTTAAGATAGGAGAGCGGCCTCCTCGACGAGGGCACGGAAGTGGCTATGTTAATGTGAGAGATTAGCATGTTTATGTAAAATCGAAGAGTGGTGCAATCCAAAGGCATGAGTGCAACCCAACGGGTGCAATCTAAAGGGCATGTGAGTATGAGTGCAATCCAAAGGACATGTGAGCATGAGAGATCTAAGAGAGGCATAGAGAGACACAGAGAGTCGGAAATAACAGCTGACAGGCAGGCAGGATGGAAACATCAGTCATTTAAGACTTTACCTGGTTAATAACGTCCTGCCAATGATTGCTCAGTTTGTACCCATCCTCTCGGATTGAAGTTATGTCTGTGTTTATATATCTGGATGGCTTCATGAACAAATCTCTGAAGGTAGCTGGTAGGTTTGCAGAGTACCTCTGTCTTGGAAAAATCTATTTCGTGAGCCCACAGCATTAAAACAATGATCGGCAACGCCAGAGGTATTGGTCCTAACGTGTTTCAGATCTGCCTTGTATTCACAAATGCAGTCCGAGACATGTCAATTCCCCAATGTAACTGCTGCCGCAACCACAACTCAGTTTATAGACACCAGGGTATAGTATGTCAGGAATCACATCCTTTACATATAGGATTAAATCACGGATTTTGTGTACTGTGTTGAAACGAACCTGGATCTTGTATTTGTTAAGGATTTTGGAAATCTTTTTGGTAACCCCTGCTATGTACGGTAAAGTGATGGTTTTGGTTGGATCCTCAGAAGGTTGTCTCCGCATGGCTGGGGAGACAGCTTTGTGGATTGTACGGTCCGAGTATCTGTTCATCCTCAGGGCTTGGTGTATGTGCTCCAACTCACTGGCTAGGTGGTGCTGGTCAAAGATGCAATGGGCCCTATGATATAGTGTTTTGATGAGGGAATTCTTCTGGGCTGGATGGTGGTGGGAGTCAGGCTTTAGATAGGCATCCGTGTGGGTGGCTTTCCTGTAGACCGAATGTCTCAACGAGCCATCAGAGCTCTTCTCGATCAAAACATCCAGGAATGGTAGCTTGCCTACGTGACTTTACCGAAAGAACCAAAGAGTATGGATTCCTGCAGTCACGAAAGCTTCAAATCAAGATTGAACCGCCTCTACGGGGAGGGTTTCCACACATCTGTTAGAGCTTTGAACAGATTGCGAGACAAGAAGGCTCACCTGATCAAGTCGCCAACCTTTCTAAAGAGATGCGATAACAAGGTAATAACGGTCGCATTTACACTCACATTTTAAAACAGTCTGCCTCAGCAGCAGACCATGCTTTCCCACCTGATGACTGACGGTTGTGTTGCACCCAAAACATCGTGATTTATTATTTTATACCTACGTGACTTTACCGAAAGAACCAAAGAGTATGGATTCCTGTAGTCACGAAAGCTTCAAATCAAGATAGAAAATGTAAATGTCACTACATATTTCCTTGTAAGGCATTGTTCAGTCTTGTGCTGTCCCTCTGCTGAGGCCTCCTTGGAGGTGTACACGTGGTACATTTGAACTTTCTGCTAAATGTCACATTTAGCCCTATTGGCAACGTTTGAATTGGGTATACATCTGTAGTTCAAACTACGGCATGCACACACACACACTACGCATCAGGTTAACAAGTGCAAAAACTATAATCTTAGCGCTTTCGGTAAAGTCACGTTAAAATAATGAAATATATATTTCATTATTTTATTGTTTCCCTTCAACGTGACTTTACCGAAAGAACTAAGAATATGAATTGCTGCAGTCACGAAAGCTTTGAATCAAAATAAAAAAATTCTCACAAAAATATGGAACGCTTCACGAATTTGCGTGTTCCATATTTTTGTGAGAATTTTTTATTGTTTTATATATATTTTATTATTTTATTGTTTCCCTTCAACGTGACTTTACCGAAAGAGCAAAGAATATGAATTACTGCAGTCACGAAAGCTTTAAATCAAAATTTAAGTGCAAAAACTGTTAATTCAATATTTGGAAACGTCAATATGTATGCTGCTGTGCAACCCACCACACTTATGTGCACAACAGTGTGACTACACAACATGAGATGTTAAATCTCTGAAGTGAAACTGCATAATATTTTAATGGAGTTGTCTATACCTTGCCCAAGACCTGCAAGTAAAACATTCAAAGTTCCCTACATGTCTGATAAAAGTGGCTCATTCCATGGGTATGATGCAATTGTGTTTTAACAAGAGGTGCTGAACACGTTATACACCCTCAGAAAGGAGGGGCCAATCAATGTATGGATGAGACTCTACAAATTGATTGAATGACTCGCAGGCAATTTGGACTATGTGATTTGTCGGTATCCAAATGGGTCCTCCTTCAATGCTTGCGAGAGATTTTCATCTCATCCCATGTGGATATATGCCTATTCAGACAAATAAAGCGGTTTCCTTTTCCAATTTACAATTTAAACGTGTTAATTTCACCTTGCAAGGGCATTAAGAGTATCTTGAGATGATTAAATGTTGAGATGTTATATACATTCAAATGATTCATAATGAAAATCCAGATGATATATGTAATCTAAATAGGACACCTACCATATTAAACATGTGATAAAACAATTGGCAAACACATTTTGAGAAATTTGCATGATAAATTCTGAATACATGTACACATACATTGTACATGCAAATTGCCTTAACTTTACTGGTGACCCAAGGAGATGTGGTCACTGGCAGTGATGGCCACACCAGCAGGACACTGAACTCTGCTTCGACTACCCACCTACAAGCACCAGAGCCTCCGCAGTGATGCACTCCAATGTGTCACAATCAGCACAAGTTAATCCAGTTCACACACATGTGAATATTGCTTAAATGAGTGCAATGGCGCGCGGTTCTCGAAACATCTTCGAAACAAATTAAGAGTCGATGTAAACATGCTCTTCAGGTGATGGATGGTAAAACCTGTTATTTTAATTATTCATGAGTACCCGTCAAACGATTGCGTATGCATTTTTCCTTTAAACATGTCTGTTTAAATGTAATTGTGTATACTCAACAAAAGTGCAACAACCACACCTCTTGTGCTGTCCAACATTTAATTATGAAAATGGATGACTAAAAGTCAGCAGCAGATAGCAGATTTAAGTACATAACTTATCTTAAAGCAATTGAACAATTATACTTAATAAAAAGTAAATATTTAAGGCTATACCAACTAAGATCCTGAGTCATGGGTCCAGTTATTTTAGTGATCGCAATATGTTTTTGGAAAGTATTGTTTTATTGTTCGATTAGTTGCAATTAAAACCCTGAATCTGCAGTTGCTGATATTAACGATAGGAAACCATGTAATAAAAAATATAACCAGACCCAAGACCTCGTTAAAATGGAAATTTTCCTCACCCATATTTTCGACAAAATCTGTATTCACCATGAATACCTGATCTGTGTTCACCATGAATAGCTGCTGCTTGTGCAGTAATATTACAGGAAGAGGTGAGGTGAATGGCCAAAATAAATCTAATTTCTGCATAATACAAATCTTACCTCATATATTGAACGCAATGGATGTAAAAAAAAGAGTTTGGCATAAACCAGATTAGATTGGTGTGATTAAACAAATCATGGTCAAACACACAAAACAAGTTATTCTACAACCTTTAGTAGCCAAAATAAAAATGTTGATTGTATGAACCTTGTTATGACCTATTTGAGATTAAAATATATACTTTATACACAAGTTAAATGGATCTTTAATGTAACACTTTTATGTTACACATTACTAACTATAATCTTGTGGATACAGATCATCTACAACTTCCAACGGTAATGATGGCATCTTGCAGAGGAAAATCGGTTTCGTGGTATTGGTACAACAGGTGCGAAATGTCTGATTTTTAATTGAGGCCTTCAAGTGATACACATATATGAAGCACGTGAAAAATGTTTCATGTGAATTCATGCTATCTCGATTAAAATAATTTTTTAATTCTGGTGCATCTGTGATTATCTGTGATATGCAAAAATAAGGTGTGCAATGTCTGATGAACAAATATTGTTTATTTATTACTAGATAACATAATAACAAAATGCATTTGGGGACATTTCAGAAATGACAGTAAACATTTGCTCAACATCTCATGAGAAAAGCACAATAGCACTTCATTTTAATACACAGTTAATATCCTTAGCAAAGGGAAAATAATGCCACAGAGAGGGAGGTGCAGAGTGTCAAGAGAGAAGAGAGACTGCATGTGGTTGAGGGGGTGACACGAAAGCCATCATAGGGACAACACAGTTGGTGGAAGGGGAAAAGTTGAGAGTCAGTGTTCGTCAAATGAGGTACTCCTTCCTACTCTCACTGAGGCTCTCCGGGAAGTTGGGGTCTTCACTCTGCAGCGTTGTGGAGGCAGCCTCCAGGCCTTTGGCTTCGTTTGTGCGATAGGTGCCTTTGTGGTGAAACAGGTACCGGCCGATGAGCGCGAGCATGCACAGGATCACCAGGATGGACATGGCAATGACTCCTTTGAAAAAAAAAAGCAGAAAAGTGAAAACAATTTGACGGCAGCTACCAGCACAAAAAAGACAGTGCACCACAAAATGGTATGCGTACTGCAGTCTAAGCTGCTGATATGTGAGCTCCTCCTTGTTTTTGTGCCCATGTACGAGTGTCTGAAGCCTTACCACCAACAACGGCCGTGTTGCTGCTGATGGGACTGCTCTGGGGTTTCCCATCTTCTCTTGACACAAATGAAGTTGTCACTGGAACATAAGGAAAAGTGAAAGAACATGCCAAATTGGGAATACAAAATACCATTATACTTTGTGCTGAGAGTTAGAGATAATGCAAATAAAGACTACAGCAACAGGCCATGAAGACGCAGAAGTAGACCAAATGTATGAAGAAATTAACCATTTTTTTAATGAGGGCAAACCACATGACAAGAGACAGAAAGAGAAACACATGGGGGAATAGAGAGCAGATTCAAGGCATCATGTTGGCTTAAAAAATGCAAGTGGGCTTTGACAGAACGCATTGTTTGAAGGATGACAACAGATACAAGACTGATGACAGAATGGAAACGGAAGGAACACAAACAAGATGCCGACCACCGCGGATTACAACAATGTGAGGAATTCATCCAGTTGTGGATAGAACATGGCTGATGAGGATTGTAGTGGCAGTCTGCGCTGAGCAAGCCATTGCAGAACATCAGGAACAAAGGCATTGCAAAGAAGTCCACTGAAGGAAAACTCAATACTTTTTTGAGCTACCATAGTTAGAAAGCAGTTTTAGCCAATACAGTTGTCCAGGCATGATGTATACCAATAAACTAAAATCTATTTTTTATTTTTCGATTTAAAGCTTTCGTGACTGCAATGATTCATCTTCTTTGGTTCTTTCGGTAAAGTCACGTAGAATGATAATAAAATAATAAATTGATAAAATAAAATAACACAAAATAACACAATAATATTATTGTGTTATTTAATTTTATCAATTTATTATTTTATTATCATTCTACGTGACTTTACCGAAAGAACCAAAGAAGATCTATTTTTTATTTTACCATGTAAGGCTCACTGAGCAATATAGCTTTTTTTTTAAGCTACCTGGTCAGAAATGATAGCTCCACGAAGTGGCTTATCACGTGGACATTTATTACAGCCAAATACTCCAAAACGCATGTTTCTAAATGTGGAAGGAAAAACCGGAGGACCTGGAAAAAAATCCACGCGGCCACAGGGAGAATCTGCAAACTCCAAATAAACAAGCGTCAGGGTTGGGATCGAACCCAAGACCTCCTGCATAGGCATGGTATTTAACTCCTCGCCAACAATTTGGTGAACTAATCTATATAAATAAAGACCTTAATCTGTATGTCTCAAAAACCTCTAGGGTACTTCCCGACAAGGTAGAAAGCTTAAATTTTGTACATAGGTAGCTTTTAGGACACAATTTGGAAAAATCAGAATATCCGAGATTTTTCACTTTAAGGCCCCCAAATCTCGATTTTAATTGCCCCGTAAACATGTTTGTACGTTTAAATTTTGATTTAAAGCTTTCGTGACTGCAGTAATTCATATTCTTAGTTTTTTCGGTAAAGTCACGTTGAAGAGAAACAAAAAAATAACAAAATATATATAAAACAATAAAAAATTCTCACGACGTTTCGACCATAACTCAAACGGTCATCATCAGGTGTGTCGGTTTGCATAAATTTATTTAGAAAACGGCACATTTATTTATTTATATATATAAAAATAACGTTTGCGTCACGCGCAACGATTGGCTGTTTGCCAGGACTAGTCCATCTATTTTTTGAAAAGAGGAGGGGGGAGACGAAATTTGTTTTTATGTATGCTGTCTGAAAGCCACTGTAAGCGTGAACAATCAATCAAGAACTGAAATGATTTATCAAATCTTTCCAATGATTGCTAAGATAGAATCCATCTTCTCGGTTGAAATTGTCTCTGTGTTTGTATATGTGGATAGCCTCATGAACGAATCTCTCATGGAAGCCAGATGGCTTACAAAGAACCTCCGTCTTGGAAAAGTCAATGGCATGTGAGCCTACTGAATTAGAACAATGATCTGCTACGGCCGAGGTGTTGGTCCTACCGTGTTTAAGGTCTGCTTTATGTTCACGAATGCGGTCCGAGATATGGCGTTTGGTTTCTCCAATGTAACTACTACCACAGAGGCAACTTAGTTTGTAGACACCAGGGTATTGTATGTCCGGAATCACATCTTTTACAGACGGAACCAGATCACGGATTTTATGTAATGTGTTGAAACGGACCTGGATCTTGTGTTTATTCAAGATTTTGGAGATCTTTTTTGTGATCCCAGCAATGTAGGGTAAAGTGATGGTTTTGAAAGGCTCCTCAAGAGGGTTCTTCTTCATGGTTTGAGTGATAGCTTTGCGGATTGTATAGTCGGAGTAACCATTAGCCCTAAGAGCTTGGTGTACGTGCTTGAGTTCACTGCTTATGTGTTCCTGGTCGGATATGCATTGGGCTCTATGATACAGAGTCTCGATGAGAGAATTCTTCTGTGATGGATGGTGGTGGGAATCCGGTTTCAGATAAGCATCCGTATGGGTAGCTTTCCTGTAGACAGAGTGGCTCATTGAACCATCAGGTCTCTTTTTAATTAGGACATCCAAAAAAGGTATCTTGCCATCTATTTCGACTTCCATGGTAAATCTGATGGCTGGGTGTATGGAATTGATGTGGTCGAAGAATTGGTCTAGAGCAGGCCGGCCATGTGGCCAGATGACAAAAGTGTCATCCACGTACCTCTTCCATAAGGTTGGGCGCAGAGTGGCAGTCTGGATGGCGTCAGTCTCAAATTTCTCCATGAAAATGTTAGCTATAACTGGAGAAAGGGGGGAGCCCATTGGGGTGCCCTCAGTTTGTTTGTAGAAAGTTCCATTCCAAGTGAAGTATGTATTGGTTAAACAGTGTCTCACCAGGGGGGGTACCTCAGTGTTTAGTCCTTGATGAACCAAGTCTTCAATGATTGCAATGGTGTCAGGTACAGGAACCTTGGTGAATAAGGAAACTACATCAAAACTGACAAGCAGGTCGTCTGGGGACAGGGAAATACCCTTGATTGTTGATACCAGGTGAGTAGAATTTTGTACCGCAGAGGTGGTCTTTCCAGTGAAAGGACGCAGGATTTCAGACAAAAAACGAGCTAGTTTGTAGGTGGGGGAGCTGATAGTAGAGACTATGGGACGAAGAGGTGTATCAACTTTATGTATTTTTGGTAAGCCGTATAATCTTGGTGGCCTGGCAGCAGAAGGTTTCAACGAAAACTGTTTAGATTGATCAATTAATGCGGTTGAATCAGAAATTATTTTGTTGGTTTGTGTGACGAGGCTGTTGGTGGGATCTCTTTTTATTTTTGTATAACTACCATCGTCGAGTAATTCTTTAATTTTGTTGTTGTATTCTATTTTAGCAACCTCAGCAAAGATGAGCGTTTTGAATTATATAAATTAAAAAAGAGGAATGATATTGTAGTTCTCTCAGCTGACAAAGGCAATGCTACTGTTATCATGGATAAAATAGAATACAACAAAATTAAAGAATTACTCGACGATGGTAGTTATACAAAAATAAAAAGAGATCCCACCAACAGCCTCGTCACACAAACCAACAAAATAATTTCTGATTCAACCGCATTAATTGATCAATCTAAACAGTTTTCGTTGAAACCTTCTGCTGCCAGGCCACCAAGATTATACGGCTTACCAAAAATACATAAAGTTGATACACCTCTTCGTCCCATAGTCTCTACTATCAGCTCCCCCACCTACAAACTAGCTCGTTTTTTGTCTGAAATCCTGCGTCCTTTCACTGGAAAGACCACCTCTGCGGTACAAAATTCTACTCACCTGGTATCAACAATCAAGGGTATTTCCCTGTCCCCAGACGACCTGCTTGTCAGTTTTGATGTAGTTTCCTTATTCACCAAGGTTCCTGTACCTGACACCATTGCAATCATTGAAGACTTGGTTCATCAAGGACTAAACACTGAGGTACCCCCCCTGGTGAGACACTGTTTAACCAATACATACTTCACTTGGAATGGAACTTTCTACAAACAAACTGAGGGCACCCCAATGGGCTCCCCCCTTTCTCCAGTTATAGCTAACATTTTCATGGAGAAATTTGAGACTGACGCCATCCAGACTGCCACTCTGCGCCCAACCTTATGGAAGAGGTACGTGGATGACACTTTTGTCATCTGGCCACATGGCCGGCCTGCTCTAGACCAATTCTTCGACCACATCAATTCCATACACCCAGCCATCAGATTTACCATGGAAGTCGAAATAGATGGCAAGATACCTTTTTTGGATGTCCTAATTAAAAAGAGACCTGATGGTTCAATGAGCCACTCTGTCTACAGGAAAGCTACCCATACGGATGCTTATCTGAAACCGGATTCCCACCACCATCCATCACAGAAGAATTCTCTCATCAAGACTCTGTATCATAGAGCCCAATGCATATCCGACCAGGAACACATAAGCAGTGAACTCAAGCACGTACACCAAGCTCTTAGGGCTAATGGTTACTCCGACTATACAATCCGCAAAGCTATCACTCAAACCATGAAGAAGAACCCTCTTGAGGAGCCTTTCAAAACCATCACTTTACCCTACATTGCTGGGATCACAAAAAAGATCTCCAAAATCTTGAATAAACACAAGATCCAGGTCCGTTTCAACACATTACATAAAATCCGTGATCTGGTTCCGTCTGTAAAAGATGTGATTCCGGACATACAATACCCTGGTGTCTACAAACTAAGTTGCCTCTGTGGTAGTAGTTACATTGGAGAAACCAAACGCCATATCTCGGACCGCATTCGTGAACATAAAGCAGACCTTAAACACGGTAGGACCAACACCTCGGCCGTAGCAGATCATTGTTCTAATTCAGTAGGCTCACATGCCATTGACTTTTCCAAGACGGAGGTTCTTTGTAAGCCATCTGGCTTCCATGAGAGATTCGTTCATGAGGCTATCCACATATACAAACACAGAGACAATTTCAACCGAGAAGATGGATTCTATCTTAGCAATCATTGGAAAGATTTGATAAATCATTTCAGTTCTTGATTGATTGTTCACGCTTACAGTGGCTTTCAGACAGCATACATAAAAACAAATTTCGTCTCCCCCCTCCTCTTTTCAAAAAATATATGGACTAGTCCTGGCAAACAGCCAATCGTTGCGCGTGACGCAAACGTTATTTTTATATATATAAATAAATAAATATGCCGTTTTCAAAATAAATTTATGCAAACCGACACACCTGATGATGACCGTTTGAGTTATGGTCGAAACGTCGTGAGAATTTTTTATTGTTTTATATATATTTTGTTATTTTGTTGTTTCTCTTCAACGTGACTTTACCGAAAAAACTAAGAATATGTTTGTACGTGTCATTCAGAAACCGTTCAAGATATAAGATTGCGTTTGTTTTCGTTTGATAGAGCGTTAAACAGCAAATATAATTAAAGTGAAAACCATTGGTTCTATCTTTTATTGTTTTTGAGATATTTTGTATTCAAGTGGTTTTGAATGAAATAATATGCATTTTATGATGTTCCAATCTGAATAATTCCCCTCACGAGAGTATTACATTCAATATTTCTTATTCTATCTAATAAAAAAAATACGAAATCTAAAAATTTAGCACTTCATGATGATCGTCAATTTTTGTTATATATTTGCGGAAAAATACAAATTATTGGAGTTGTTAGTAGTGTCTGATCGTAGATAAAAATTGACAAAAATCATGTCATGTTAATTATATTTATTGAAAGTTTTCCTAGCGGAGACAGGCTTCATGAACTAGTAGGTACATATCCTAAGTAGTATGCTTTCATTGTGTTTTATGTGTGTGAAATAATTTATTGTATTACACAATTAAAATTCTAATAATCAGGGTGGAGTACATTAGCAAGTGCAGCAAGATATAATTTTGGTTATTACTCCTGTAAATTTTAAAGTGAAATGAAAATAAGGAGCATATCGGTTTTAAAGCCAATCACAACCAAGCCAAACATACCTCTGTCGAACGAGACACTGTATATGCCTATTAATCAACATAAACTGACATCAACACAGCAATTTTTTTAATTAGGTCAAAATTGGCTTTAAATGTAAAGTTGTGATAATTGCTTTACAGTAGTAATTCTGAAAAATCTACAAAGCTGGGATGGCACGATTTGTATAACATGATCTTTAAATAAGAATGTTTTGTGGTGGGGGGGGGGGTGGTGGTGACAGTCATCAAGCTGTCCATCAAAGTATTATGCGAGCACAACCAAGGTTGGAGGGCGTACGAGGTGAGTGGGCTGCACTAGCACATTGCAAGGGTAAAGGCGCCTACCCGGCAAAGACCAGAGGTCCGTGCTAGTGGTGGGGGGCACGGTGGTCATGGATAATGCCATGCAGGTGGACTCCACCAGCCGCCCTTGCACGAACACTGGGGAGGCGATGGGAGCAGGCGAGGAGGAGTGCTGCTCAATGTACAGCGATCGCTGCCTCAGGGCAGCCTTGAGTGGAGCAGCAGAGTTAAACTGAACGCGAGAGAGGCAGCCCACAAAGCCCTGCACGTTGGCCTGCTGCACCTCGTGATCGCTCACATCAAGATCTGCAGTGACGAAACAAAAACAAGCATGAAGATGTGAAATCTGCCAATACCTAACTGGAATATGTTGCATACTAAGTGCTATGGAATTCCATCCCATCGTTCTTATAACCTTGCTTGATTTAAGAAACGAATTCACTTATATTTTATTACATCTGCATTGCTGGCTGCTTGACATTTTTGACATATGGGTCTGTGCTCAGGAACTGTAATTTTAATAATTATTGTAGGTGCTGGGATGGATTCTATCATACCTCTCTCGTTTTAGGCGCGAGTTTGCATGTCCTGTGCATCCATCAGACATTGTCAGTGACAGCAAACATTATCACCTGGAATTACGTCTTAATTTTGTAATTTTTCAGGCCAAAAAAATGCAGTTACTACAGCTATGAAGTAAAACAAATGTACCATGACTTTTAGAATGGATGCCACCAGTTTGCAGTGAAGCATACGTTTCACATTTTATTTGGTATCACTTGAACAAACACAAAGGAAGCCACATGTATATTTGGGCACACACTGCTAAATAGAATATAAGAAATAATACAAAAAAAACTGCCTAAAACCACGGTGACACAGCTGAAGCTAAAACCAAGTGAGATACAGCATCAATAACTGTTGTGTCCCTTAAGAACAAAACAAAATAACATTCATAAAGGTGGCTTCAATGGATACAATAATTGAATCTTATGGAGGGACCCCGGGGTCCCGAATAAACGGAAGTAAAAATCGTAATTAATTAATTAAGTAATTCATTTTGGCGACTCCGTCCCACCGCGCACATAAACGCCACAACCCACCTGGCGCGGATCATTGTTGTCATGTCGTCCAAGCGAAGCAGCGAGGACGAATGCGCAGATGATCTTAACAAGCGAATGCACTCCATGCTCGGGTATGGGCATTATCATAAGTCTTATCCAAAGCTGCTCAAACTGCCTACACAACGTAAGTCCTATATTTGTCATAACGGTAAGCATAATAATACAGTGAAACTGCTCTCTTATCTTCATTATTATTTGTGACCTACCAATGTTTTCAGCCAGGATCAATCGATGACAATCCCATTACCAGCAGATATTTAACTGATGAGATACGTTGCACCAAATTTTGATTTAAAGCTTTCGTGACTGCAGGGATTCATATTCTTGGTTCTTTCAGTAAAGTCACGTAGAAGGGAAACAATAAAATAATACAATATATATACGTTGCACCGTTAATTCCTCCTGTTTGATAATACTTCTCTTGTCCGTATGCATCTGTGCTGATAGGTTTTTTTTGCGGTTAAGCCATAGTCCCCACATATCGCTCGTATGAATGCGGATAAGAGGAGCAGCAACCCACTACTCTTTAGAGTAACATTGGTATAAACGCTTGTTACAATATGAACAGCGCATTGAAAACGCATACTATTTTATGTACTGTTTACAAAGTGTGTTCACAAATCCACACTGAGAAACACGATGATTGACAGAGGGGTGTCAATTATTCGATAGTTTATTTAAATAGAGGTACTGCAGGTAAGTAGTTTTCAGTTTTAAAAGCATAGTTTAACAAGACAACACTTTAACACGTAGGCTTTCACGACCAATATTATTCATAATAAAGGTTTTTGGGTTAGATCGCGTTATATATAAATGTGTCGTACTCAAACTGTAAATGTTGTGGATTCACTCTTCAACACACCGGTGGGCTAAAGTAGTGAACTATTTGTCTTTTGTCAACGTGACACTTTTTTTGCTGATTGGCCGTGTCGGGTGGTGGAGGGTTACGACACATTTATAAATAACGCGATCTAACCCAAAAAACTTTATTATGAAGACAACACTTGCCACCATCCTTCAAACACATTGGTGAAAAAGAGCAAAGTTTTTGTTTACATTATAATATGTTTATGCGAGAGCTGGGAGCTTATGAGTCCCCGGGGTCGTGCCATAAGGTTCATATGTCAAAGTGCATAAACAATATCAATTTAAGCATCAGGTTTATGATACCAACATGCATTTAAATACCACACAGAAAATGCAAGTCTTGAGCAGGATTGACTCGAATGCTTTTAGCCCCATCATTAAAAGCACATGTTCTAGTTAACAATAAAATCATTGGAAAGCGTCTCTATTTAACTTATGGCCTTCCAATCTAAAAACAATTATATCGTCTGAGATGGGATGATATGTGATGCCTTTATATGAAACAGTAAGTGAATACATTCGTCAAAAAACTGCCCTAAAAGGAAACAAATGCAGGCTATGTTTCAGGTATAATGGCACTACTTAATAGCACATTTCTATCCAAATCGTGTTATTGAGGGTTTTTTTGTTGTGTTTATGCACCACTGCCAATGCAATATCACAAACATGTGTTTAGCAGTGAATCTGCATTTGTCAAATTGTTAAAATTTTGGCAAGCCACACATTTAAGCGTATTTGATCCAAAAAGACAAATAACTTCAGAAAAGTGTGTTAAGTCCTGTACCATAATTGTAATACAGTATTGTAATGGAAGTCCTACTTTATGATTTTGTACTGTACTTTACCAACTTGTGGCAAAGGCTCTAAGGTTTCCAAATTATTTGCAAAAAAAAGACTCAAGGAACATATTGCAATGTTTAAATGTGTTAAGCTAGTGAACAGATGTAAAAAATATGTAAACATACAAAAGTTTGTTTAACACGTAGTAGGCTTTCGCGACCAATATTCGAAAGAGGTTTTTTGGGTTAGATCGCGTAAATATATAAATGTGTCGTTAAAACCCGCCACCACCCGACACAGTCAACTAGTAAGGGTTTTCACGTAAACCGAACATGCCTATTTGTCACGAGTACAGCATACCGGTGTATTGGAGAGCCAAGCTACAACATTTACAATCTGAGTACGACGTTTTGCCAGTAATTACAACTATTCTATGCTTCTTTCGGTAAAGTCAGGTAGATAGAAAGAAAAAAAAATAAAGTGATTAAAAATATCACGACGTTTCGATCGCAACACAAGCGTTCGTCATCAGGCAAAGAAGTCAGCCTCTAAAGGCAAGATGTCTATTAAGGTTTGGGGATGGGCATAGCCCAAGTGTATCAACAGCACCAGGAGTATGGGTGGTGCCACGAGTGCCAATGCAACAACAATGCCAATGTAGCTATCAACAGCACCAAGAACATCGGCGTTCCACGAGTGCCAATGCAGCAACAATGCCAATGCAGCAGCAAAAATCCCTGCACCCCGCTCCACACATCACACTGGTGATGGTGGAGGTTGATTGACAAGAAAACACAAGTCAAGTCATGACCCAAAATGGTTGATGACATCTTTCCAATGACTGATGAATCTATAACCTACCTCTCACCCTCCCCTCCGTAGCATCCAGCTGTCCCGGCTGCCAACTCCCCCACAAGCAAGCAACCGACGGACATACAAGCAAGTGTGCTCCAACAATAACACAACAGAGAAAAAGATTACCCAAACCCAAAAAATCGCGTCAATCAACATATCCCACCCACATCGTGTAACAACGCCCGTGAGCTCGATGGCGAGCAGGATCAGCCAAATACTCGCCACGACTCATGCGAGCACGACAACCCATGACGGTGTGGTAGTGTGCAGTGCATGGGGATCATGCAAATCGAGTCTTTGAGCGAGTACGCGATGCCGGGCCTCCAGGCAGGTATGGGCTCGTCCGTCCTGGAAGGCCCGGTGCGGGCTCCCTCACACTGTATGTGGTGCCTCTGCGCTAACCAGCGCTCACCAAAGCCCCGCTAGGGCTGGTACTACGCCCAGTAACTGGGCTACACATAATGACAACATTATCCACCGTGGCCTCGCAAGGCCGGCACTACACAGTGACATTCACTACACATGTAGATAACATGACTGCTTCTTCAGCCGCTACAATGTCAGCTAAATGTAAATATAACCTGATTTCCAAGTTCAACCTCCTTTCCAAGAAGAAACCAGATCCACAAATTAAAAAGTTAGACGTTGACAAGGTTTCATATTCTTGGTTCTTTCGGTAAAGTCACGTAGAAGGGAAATAAAATAATACAAATATAAAACAATAAAATGATCACGACGTTTCGACTGCAACACAAGCAATCATCATCAGGTGTGAAAACCACAGCAAGAACAGTTTCAAAAGAATATGAATCCCTGCAGTCACAAAAGCTTTAAATCAAAAGTTGACAAGGTTGTTATTAATCTGAGTAATAGCCCAATTTCCGATGGTCTAAAGTCGGTTGTAGCTAAAGGGTTAAACTTTGCAATCACCCGCAAACACATCCCAGTGGATGACATCATTGCCCAGGTCGATGTAGCTCTTAAGGGTTTGGGGCACATCACTGCAGGCGTGACAAGATCTGAAATCGCTGCAACCCTCAAAAGCGCTAAGATACCAGAATAGGTTTTCCCTTTTTTATGGCAACAAACAGGTGTTAAGATGTTAAAACACCAAACTGAAACCTTTTACAAGGAATCATGTCTGCATGAACCACGATACTTGTGGTCAGAATGCAAACAAAAAATACTCTGATAATATATGCATTGTCTTTGAAACTGATTAGTCCACACTAGAGACAGCTTTCTTTTGAGCCGAGTCTCAAAACAGTGTTAATACAGACATGATTCCTTGTAAAAGGTTTCAGTTTGGTGTTTTAACATCTTAACACCTGTTTGTTGCCAGAAAAAAGGGGAAAGCCTAGTCTCACATTTTGGTACTGGCAAAGGAGGTCCTATGATGCTAAGATACCAGTCAGCAACATCAGTAAGGATGAGCGTTTTGAGTTATCTCAATTGAAAAAGAGGGATGATATCGTCATCCTCTCAGCCGACAAGGGCAATACCATTGTCATCATGAACAAAACCGTGTACAATAACAAAATTCAGGACCTACTTAATGATGGTAGTTACACAAAAATTGAGAGAGAGTCCAATAACAACCTCGTTACAATAGCGAACAATAACATCAATGATTCAGCTTCATTAATTGAACAGACCAAACGGCTTTCCTTCAAACATTCT